GGGCCGCGCCACGGGCGCCCCCCTCCCCCCCCCCCCCCCCGCGGCCCCCGCTGCCACTACTGCCACCACGACAGACAGCCCGGCCCTGGGTGGCAGGACCACGGGCACCCATGGCTCAGCACCCACCACACCGCAAGGGGCCAGGGCACCCAGGGTGGGGACCAGGGTCCATCCTGGCACCCAGGGGGTACCAGAGAGCCAAAATGGGGTTCAGGTCTTACAGCACCCATGGCACAGCCGGCTGCTTCAGCCACCCCGTCCTCCCATCAGAGCCACCCCAGAGGGGCAGGAGCCTCCACATCCCTCTGTCCCCCCCACAGCCAGAAGCCACTGGCACACCAGTCCCTATGCCAGCAATGCTGGGGACAGCAGCAGCAGCAGCCGGGTGACAACGAGGACACCCCCCGGTCCCCCTTCCTTACCCGATGTAGTTGGTCCTCAAGGAAATCTCCAGCTCCCGGAGCACCTGCGTCGACTCCTGCACTCGCCTCTTAAACTGGGGGACGGGGAGAACCGTTGGCACCGTCCCTGACCCGGGATGGGGACAAGGGGTGGAAGGGGGAGCCCTCACCTTCCTGCTTACGCCACCCGTGTCCAAGTAGCTCTTCAGCTTCTGGATGTAGGCGGACGGTGGGTTTTTCACCTGGAAACGCTCCTACGAGCCCCGGAGAGAGGCTGAAACCAGGCCACCCACCCACGGCACGGGGACGTGCCACCGTCCCCGCGGCAGCCACCATGTCCCCGCCCCCGCGCTGCATCAATGTTTAATCAGGTTAATAAGGCGCTGTATCGCTAACGGAGACGGATGTCAGCGCTCGGCACATGCTGAGTTGATGCCCAACACCGCGAGTGGCACTTGGGGACAGGGATGGCACCGGGGACACCGTGACGCCCAGACCTCACCTGGTCGCAGATGAGCTCCCACTTCTTCTCGTTGTCGTACTGGTTGAGCAGCTTCATCTTGTCCGGGGGCAGGTTCATGGAGTTCTGTGGGGTGATGGGTGTCAGGGCTGGGGGGGGCACCCCCAAAAACAGCCCCCGGGGCTGTAGCACCCGCTGCTCGCCCAGCACCGGGTGTCCTTGCTCAGCAGTGGGAGGATGGGGACACCACCATTCCCAGGATGTTAGCATCCCACCAGCGATGGACCCATCAGCCATGTCCCCACCTGGGGGTCCCCGAGGCGGAGGGCAGGGGGTGTTAGTGGGGGGACAGGAGGGAAAACTGGACCCGTCCATCCATGTCATGAGTGCACAATGCTCCCGGCCTCAGCCAGCCCAGTCCCAGCAAAGCCACTTGGGGTGAGGGATGGGGACACAGGCTGGTGACACAGCTGAGGAACCCGGGAGTCTGGGCCCTGCTCGAGGGTGACGGTCACCTCCGAGTCCCCCCACCGCGGGCGCGTGACGAGCCTGGCTGGTGAAATCAATGTTTCTTTAGAGACATGATGTCAGGGCAGGGTCTGGTGTGTCACCACATCCCTCCGTGCCACTGTTGCACAACCCCGGCCCCCGCTGCCCCCCCCCGGGGCCACCCCGGCAGGACGTGACGTGGTTTCCGCTCTCCAAACGGCACGAGGCGGCCGGCGAAACTG